ACCTAACCTAACCTAACTAACTAACCTAACCTAACCTAACCTAACCTAACCTAACCTAACCTTACCTAACCTAACCTAACCTTACCTAACCTAACCGAACCTAACCTAACCTAACCTAACCTAACCTAACCTAACCTAACCTTACCTAACCTAACCTAACCTTACCTAACCTAACCTAACCTAACCTAACCTAACCTAACCTAACCTAACCTTACCTAACCTAACCGAACCTAACCTAACCTAACCTAACCTAACCTTACCTAACATAACCTAACCTAACCTAACCTAACCTAACCTTACCTAACGTAACCCAACCTAACCTTACCTAACCTCAGTAACCTAACCTAACCTAACCTAACCTAAAAACCTAACCTAACCTAACCTAACCTAACCTAACCTAACCTAACCTTACCTAACCTAACCTTACCTAACCTAACCTTACCTAATCTAACCTTACCTAACCTAACCTAACCTAACCTAACCTAACCTAACCTTGCCTAACCTAACCTTACCTAACCTAACCTAACCTTACCTAACCTAACCTAACCTTACCTAACCTAACCTTACCTAACCTAACCTTACCTATCCTAACCTTACCTAACCTAACCTAACCTAACCTAACCTAACCTAACCTAACCTTACCTAACCTAACCTTACCTAACCTAACCTAACCTTACCTAACCTAACCTAACCTAACCTAACCTAACCTAACCTAACCTAACCTAACCTAACCTAACCTTACCTAACCTAACCTAACCTAACCTAACCTAACCTAACCTAACCTTACCTAACCTTCCTGACCTCTGTAATAAATTCATTTATTTATTTATTTATTTAGTAATTTTAGCTACATACAGAGGTACAAAAAAATACGGGTAAGACCCAGCTGCCAAAGTCACTTATACATGCATACATTACGGCGGTTTTAAAAATTTTAACTTAAAATTAAAAAGCAATGATGAAATCAGTGATAAAACTTATTGTAACAGATAACTAAAAAGATAAAAAGATAAGAAAAGATAAGATTCGTTGGGATTTTAACCCCGGAGGGTTAGCCACCCAGGTAACCCAAGAAAGCAGTGCGCATCGAGGAAAACTAATTTATTCCAGGGGCCCTTAAATCTTGTCCCCCGGAGGGACCCCACCAGTCAACAAACACCCGGAAACCTATTTGCTGCTAGGGAACAGGAAATGGGTGAAGGAAACTGTGAAATTTTTCCCCCGCCGGGAATCGAACCCGGGCCCTCCGTGTGTAAAGCGGGAGCTTTAAGCCACCAGGACCGGGCCACAATGAGTTTACAAAGACGGGCATAGGGTTGCATGCATTGCGTACATTCATAGAATGGAGTATTCGTTAGGAGTGTTTTTTAAAAAAATAACAAAGTTAGATTGGGGGCCCAGTTTAAAAATTTGTGTGATATAATTAGACTTCCTTTTCCCTCGTCACCGTTCCAGGGCTAATAAAGAAAAGGAGGAGTATGATAACGACATAAGATCATATAAGACACTAAAAATAAAAAAGGAATATTTCCTAGCCTATCAATATGGAGAACAAATCTTAGGAATAAACAGAGAAAAAATTACCCCAAAGATTTCCAGTTTCGCAATTGATAGAACAATAGAATGGGTTTATGATGTATAATTGTAACAAACTTAAAAAATATAAATGAATACACTCTACACCTCTAGCTAAAAATAAAATAATGACAAAATTTGTAATAAGAAATTGCTTCAGAGTTTTGGGGTTTAAAAGAGCAGGGGCTAACCCAGTAAGATATTAAGAATAACTTTACAGCAAGAGACAGTAAGAGGTTGAACTCATCTTGCAATGAGTGGGCGCTGGTGAAGGCGTGCGGGCGTGCAGGCGTGCGGGCGGGCAGGGGTGAAGAACCTATCCTTGCCGTGGGGGTAAAATTTATGAGGGTGGCTTAGACGCTAGTGGTGTTCTAGGTCACCACGCCCCCACCACACTGACTAACTCACACACTCTCTTGATTTAACTCAAAGTTTTTTGCTATAAACTTAAGAGAGGAGGGAGCGTCAGCACTATACACGTACACACTCAACTTACTACATAATGCCTCTTGCTGATATGGAAGATAAGAGTGAAAGTCACAGTGTTTTAGCTACTGCCAGGTGCCCTACTGTTTACTATTAATGTAACAAAAATACATACTGGTGTTGGTACTCAGTTGTGCTTGTGAAGGTTGTCTTGCAGCTCCTGGCTCCGCGTCTTGAATATTATCAACCACTTTTAATAATATATACCTGCAGGAGATGATCATGCTTGCTGCACCAACCAGGTTTAGTGCTTCTTCCTTCTCTTTCTGTGTACTTACATGCATGTTGATAAATTAGACACATGTGCAACACTTGGGTATCTTTACTGAGGAAACGTTTCGCCACACAGTGGCTTCATCAGTCCATACAAAAAGAATGTTGAAAATCAGAAAGAGTTTGAGGTAATCAGTCCCTCAGCCTTGAAAAGAATACAGCATATGCACGAAGAAGTTGCTTATATACTGTAGACAGGTGAGGTACAGCAGTCGTAGGTGGTGTCAGTAGACAAATCTGCATGTGAAAGTAGGTCATGACTAAAGTTTAGGCAAGTGAAGAATTCTCTGTATTAAGATCTCATGATGTTGCTGTGTCTGACAGGAATGTTGATAAATGGTTCAGAGAACCTACCTGTCTACGGTATATAAGCCACTTCGTGCATATGCTGTATTCTTTTTCAACATTGATGGACTGATTACATCGACTCCAGATTAATGGACTGATTACCTCAAACTCCTTCTGATCGTCATCATTCTCCTTTGTATGGACTGATGAAGTCACTGTGTGGCGAAACATGTCCACAATAAAAATACCCAAGTGTTGCACATTGTCTAATTTATCAACTTGTTGGTTCTCTGAACCATTTATCTACATTCACCTACATGTGCCTGCAGGGGTCGAGTTACAGCTCCTGGTGCGGTGTGTGTGTGTGTGTGTGTGTGTGTGTGTGTGTGTGTGTACTCACCTAACTGTGATTGAACGAGTCGATTCACAGCTCCTGGCCCAGCCTCTTCACTGATCGCTACTAGATCCACTCTCTCCCTTCTCCATGAGCTTAATCATACCGCTTCTTAAAGCTATGTATGGATCCTGCCTCCACTACATCACTCTGTCATCGAGGACTGTTTGTCTTAGTTCCAATGTGATTCTTTAATCTTGTTTCCCAGGATGCAACCCTCACTAGTCGACTAACACTCAGGTACCTACTTACTGCTAGGTGAACAGGTGCAGCAAGTGTAAGGAAACATGCCCAATATTTCCATCCGTGTCGGGGATCGAACCAGGACACTCATTGTGAGGTGAGAGCGTTGCCAACCAAGCCACGGGACTTATTCTTTACCGACTTTGAACACAGACACTATAAGCTCAAAAACCGACATACTGAGTCAAGGGGAGACAAGAAAACCCCCAGATCCCCGTAACTCAACACTCCTCAAAAGGCCCAGGAGCTATACCTCAAATCTGTCAATCCATATCTCTTTTCTACACGAGGAAACGTTCTTAATAAATTTATTTATTTATTTATTTATTTGAACATGATACAGTGAAGTACAAAGGAAGACAGTTATTACAGAGCAACATAACTTGTATACAGAGCATTATGGGCAGCTTAAAATTAACTTAAGATTAACTAAGATTAAATATTCAGTGGTAAAAACATTATTGTAAACAGATAACAATTTAGCACTAATGAGTTTCTTTAAAACAATAAAAAACTTTTTACCCCCAAAGCAAAATATAGCGAGTAAACAACTTTACTAACTTGGTCAGTTACTGGTAATATAACTTTTATTACTACAAGTACATGTACAAGGTATACAGTCCTAGTTGACATCACTGACATACTACAAGTACATGTACAAGGTATACAGTCCTAGCTGACATCACTGACATACTACAAGTACATGTACAAGGTATACAGTCCTAGTTGACATCACTGACATACACAAGTACTATGTACAAGGTATACAGTCCTAGCTGACATCACTGACATACTACAAGTACATGTACAAGGTATACAGTCCTAGCTGACATCACTGACATACTACAAGTAATGTAACAAGGTATACAGTCCTAGTTGACATCACTGACATACTACAAGTACATGTACAAGGTATACAGTCCTAGTTGACATCATTGACATACTACAAGTACATGTACAAGGTATACAGTCCTAGTTGACATCACTGACATACTACAAGTACAAGTACAAGGTATACAGTCCTAGTTGACATCACTGACATACTACAAGTACAAGTACAAGGTATACAGTCCTAGTTGACATCACTGACATACTACAAGTACATGTACAAGGTATACAGTCCTAGTTGACATCACTGACATACAACAAGTACATGTACAAGGTATACAGTCCTAGCTGACATCACTGACATACTACAAGTACAAGTACAAGGTATACAGTCCTAGTTGACATCACTGACATACTACAAGTACAAGTACAAGGTATACAGTCCTAGTTGACATCACTGACATACTACAAGTACAAGTACAAGGTATACAGTCCTAGTTGACATCACTGACATACTACAAGTACATGTACAAGGTATACAGTCCTAGTTGACATCACTGACATACAACAAGTACATGTACAAGGTATACAGTCCTAGCTGACATCACTGACATACTACAAGTACATGTACAAGGTATACAGTCCTAGCTGACATCACTGACATACTACAAGTACATGTACAAGGTATACAGTCCTAGCTGACATCACTGACATACTACAAGTACATGTACAAGGTATACAGTCCTAGCTGACATCACTGACATACTACAAGTACATGTACAAGGTATACAGTCCTAGTTGACATCACTGACATACTACAAGTACATGTACAAGGTATACAGTCCTAGTTGACATCACTGACATACTACAAGTACATGTACAAGGTATACAGTCCTAGTTGACATCACTGACATACTACAAGTACATGTACAAGGTATACAGTCCTAGCTGACATCACTGACATACTACAAGTACATGTACAAGGTATACAGTCCTAGTTGACATCACTGACATACTACAAGTACATGTACAAGGTATACAGTCCTAGCTGACATCACTGACATACTACAAGTACATGTACAAGGTATACAGTCCTAGCTGACATCACTGACATACTACAAGTACATGTACAAGGTATACAGTCCTAGCTGACATCACTGACATACTACAAGTACATGTACAAGGTATACAGTCCTAGCTGACATCACTGACATACTACAGTACATGTACAAGGTATACAGTCCTAGCTGACATCACTGACATACTACAAGTACATGTACAAGGTATACAGTCCTAGCTGACATCACTGACATACTACAAGTACATGTACAAGGTATACAGTTCTAGTTGACACACTGACAAACTACAAGTACATGTACAAGGTATACAGTTCTAGTTGACATCACTGACATACTACAAGTACATGTACAAGGTATACAGTCCTAGCTGACATCACTGACATACTACAAGTACATGTACAAGGTATACAGTCCTAGTTGACATCACTGACATACTACAAGTACATGTACAAGGTATACAGTCCTAGCTGACATCACTGACATACTACAAGTACATGTACAAGGTATACAGTCCTAGCTGACATCACTGACATACTACTATATAGAAAGCCTCTTGTTATGCTGAGCATTTCCCACAAATTAGGTCAGTTTTGTCCCAGGATGCGACCCACACCAGTCCACTAACACCCAGGTACCTATTTTAAACTGCTGGGTGAACATAGACAACAGGTATCTTAAGGTGAACATGGACAGCAGGTGACTTAAAGAAACACATCCTAATGTTTCCACCTGTACCGGGGATCGACCCCCGGACCTCACTGTGTGAACTACCATTGTAAATAATTCTGAAGGATTATTATTGCCTGCAAACAAACTAACTTGGAAATCAATAATTTGTCTCGTGTAATATATTATCCAGAATTTTCTGATTAACTAAAAACAAACATACATTCACTGCAGAATATTTTAGCCAGGAATTCCCTCCATACTTTTTTGAATTCAAAATCAAAATTTATTTTGATCGACACTATGCCTAACCCTTCTAGGGTAGGGTAGGTGCCTGAGCCCGAGCCTTTACCTCATAAGACTGTCATTCCCATTAGCCCCCTTGTGGCGGGGATGGCAGACCAGAGAGGCCTAGCTTGTGGCTAGGCCTGGGGACAGTTGGTCCCAAAGATGAGGAGGTGCTTGTACCTCCTCCCATGGGAGACTTAGGTCTCAGACACTCCCTAAAGAGGGAGCCAAGGCCGGGCCACCACTTGGACAAGGCCCGGGCAGGGAGAATACCGGCGAATCTTTAACTAACTAACTAACTAAAATTTATTTCCTTTTTGTGGTGTAAAAAGTTAATGTAGTTATCTTTTTACAGCACAAAAAAGATACGGTAAATGTATATTTATCTTTAGTCAGGCCTAAAAGTAAGTTACAATATATAATGAATTTGTGGTAGACTAATTATAATGTTTTAAGACGAGTTTAATATTATATTTACAATGTTATGTAGGATATTTTTATGTAGTTAACTACGATTATGTTAACAATGAGGTAACGTGAACAATGGTACAATAAGAAAGGTAGTTAAGTGAATAATGGTACAATAAGAAAGGTAGTAAAGAGAACAATGGTACAATGAACAATAAGGTAGCAAAGTGAACAATGGTACAATAAGAAAGGTAGTTAAGTGAACAATGGTACAATAAGAAAGGTAGTAAAGAGAACAATGGTACAATGAACAATAAGGTAGCAAAGTGAACAATGGTAAACAGGTGAAAAGGGGGGGGTTGGCCTGTACATTGCAGAGTCACTTGTTTGCACAGAACTGCTAAATGCCTCAAATGACGTAGTGGAAGTTTTAGCAGTAAAGGTCGAGAACCAAAACCTAGTCATTGTGGCAGTCTACAAGCCTCCGGATGCAACATCCCAGCAATTCCAGGAACAGCTGTTAAAAATTGACCACTGTCTGGAAAATCTTCCAGCTCCTGCACCCAACATCTTGCTCCTGGGGGATTTCAACTTAAGGCACCTAAAATGGAGGAATATAGCAAATAATATTGTTGCAGTAATAACACCAGGAGGCAGCTTGGGTGAAAACTCCCAACCTCACACGAGCTTTTAAAAACCTGCACAAAATTCAATTTAAACCAGCAAATAATAGAGCCTACTAGACTGGAGAATACACTAGACCTCATATTCACTAACAATGATGATCTGATAAGAAATGTCACCATATAAAAACAATATACTCAGATCACAACATAATTGAGGTTCAGACATGTATGCGAGGAGCCCCAGACCGACAAAATGAGACTAGTCACGAGGGAGCATTCACCAAATTCAACTTCAATAACAAAAACATAAAGTGGGACCAAGTAAACCAAGTCCTAACCGATATAAGCTGGGAAGATATACTAAGCAACACAGACCCAAACTTATGCCTAGAACAGATTAACTCGGTGGCACTCGATGTATGCACAAGGCTTATTCCTCTAAGAAAAAGGAGGAGTAGATGTAAAATAGAAAGAGACAGGCGCTCCCTTTACAGGCGACGGAAAAGAATAACAGAGCGGCTAAAAGAGGTCAATATATCTGAAATGCGCAGGGAGACACTGGTCAGAGAAATAGCAAGCATCGAACTTAAGCTAAAAGAATCCTTTAGGAGTCAGGAATCGCGGGAAGAACTAAAAGCTATAAATGAAATCGAAAGAAACCCAAAGTATTTCTTCTCCTATGCCAAATCAAAATCGAGAACAACGCCCAGTATTGGGCCCCTACTTAAACAAGATGGTCCTACACAGATGACAGCAAGGAAATGAGTGAGCTACTCAAGTCCCAATATGACTCCCGTTTTAGCAAGCCGCTAACCAGACTGAGAGTCGAAGATCAAAATGATTTTTTTTATGAGAGAGCCACAAAATTTGATTAACACAAGCCTATCCGATGTTATCCTGACGCCAAATGACTTCGAACAGGCGATAAATGACATGCCCATGCACTCTGCCCCAGGGCCAGACTCATGGAACTCTGTGTTCATCAAGAACTGCAAGAAGCCCCTATCACGAGCCTTTTCCATCCTATGGAGAGGGAGCATGGACACGGGGGTCGTCCCTCAGTTACTAAAAACAACAGACATAGCCCCACTCCACAAAGGGGGCAGTAAAGCAACAGCAAAGAACTACAGACCAATACACTAACATCCCATATCATAAAAATCTTTGAAAGGGTCCTAAGAAGCAAGATCACCACCCATCTAGAAACCCATCAGTTACACAACCCAGGGCAACATGGGTTTAGAACAGGTCGCTCCTGTCTGTCTCAACTACTGGATCACTACGACAAGGTCCTAAATGCACTAGAAGACAAAAAGAATGCAGATGTAATATATACAGACTTTGCAAAAGCCTTCGACAAGTGTGACCATGGCGTAATAGCGCACAAAATGCGCGCTAAAGGAATAACAGGAAAAGTCGGTCGATGGATCTATAATTTCCTCACTAACAGAACACAGAGAGTAGTCGTCAACAGAGTAAAGTCCGAGGCAGCTACGGTGAAAAGCTCTGTTCCACAAGGCACAGTACTAGCTCCCATCTTGTTCCTCATCCTCATATCCGACATAGACAAGGATGTCAGCCACAGCACCGTGTCTTCCTTTGCAGATGACACCCGAATCTGCATGACAGTGTCTTCCATTGCAGACACTGCAAGGCTCCAGGCGGACATCAACCAAATCTTTCAGTGGGCTGCAGAAAACAATATGAAGTTCAACGATGAGAAATTTCAATTACTCAGATATGGTAAACATGAGGAAATTAAATCTTCATCAGAGTACAAAACAAATTCTGGCCACGAAATAGAGCGAAACACCAACGTCAAAGACCTGGGAGTGATTATGTCGGAGGATCTCACCTTCAAGGACCATAACATTGTATCAATCGCATCTGCTAGAAAAATGACAGGATGGATAATGAGAACCTTCAAAACTAGGGAGGCCAAGCCCATGATGACACTCTTCAGGTCACTTGTTCTATCTAGGCTGGAATATTGCTGCACTCTAACAGCACCTTTCAAGGCAGGTGAAATTGCCGACCTAGAAAATGTACAGAGAACTTTCACGGCGCGCATAACGGAGATAAAACACCTCAATTACTGGGAGCGCTTGAGGTTCCTAAACCTGTATTCCCTGGAACGCAGGCGGGAGAGATACATGATTATATACACCTGGAAAATCCTAGAGGGACTAGTACCGAACTTGCACACGAAAATCACTCACTACGAAAGCAAAAGACTTGGCAGACGATGCATCATCCCCCCAATGAAAAGCAGGGGTGTCACTAGCACGTTAAGAGACCATACAATAAGTGTCAGGGGCCCGAGACTGTTCAACTGCCTCCCAGCACACATAAGGGGGATTACCAACAGACCCCTGGCAGTCTTCAAGCTGGCACTGGACAAGCACCTAAAGTCAGTTCCTGATCAGCCGGGCTGTGGCTCGTACGTTGGTTTGCGTGCAGCCAGCAGCAACAGCCTGGTTGATCAGGCGCTGATCCACCAGGAGGCCTGGTCACAGACCGGGCCGCGGGGGCGTTGACCCCCGAAACTCTCTCCAGGTAAACTCCAGGTACAATAAGAAAGGTAGTAAAGAGAACAATGGTACAATGAACAATAAGGTAGCAAAGTGAACAATGGTACAATAAGAAAGGTAGTAAAGAGAACAATGGTACAATGAACAATAAGGTAGCAAAGTGAACAATGGTACAATAAGAAAGGTAGTAAAGAGAACAATGGTACAATGAACAATAAGGTAGCAAAGTGAACAATGGTACAATAAGAAAGGTAGTTAAGTGAACAATGGTACAATGAACAATAAGGTAGCAAAGTGAACAATGGTACAATAAGAAAGGTAGTTAAGTGAACAATGGTACAATAAGAAAGGTAGTAAAGTGAACAATGGTACAATGAACTAATAAGGTATGCAAAGGTAGTGAACAATGGTACAATAAGAAAGGTAGTTAAGTGAACAATGGTACAATAAGAAAGGTAGTTAAGTGAACAATGGTACAATAAGAAAGGTAGTTAAGTGAACAATGGTACAATAAGAAAGGTAGTTAAGTGAACAATGGTACAATAAGAAAGGTAGTTAAGTGAACAATGGTACAATAAGAAAGGTAGTTAAGTGAACAATGGTACAGTTTTAAAAGTATTACTTGTTATTTCAAAGTGAGTGAACAATGTTCAGTTGTGTTGAGTGACGGGATACACTCCAGGTTACTGTGTCACAATACAGATACAATACCTGGAGGGTGTTCCAGGGGTCAACACCCCCGAGTCCTG